ATTATATGTCCCAAGAAAAATACTATAGTTGTGTTTTACTCGTTGTACTCTGGACTACCCGAACCTGTGACTAAAGCTTTGGATAGGTAAGTGATATTATATTTAATGTCAAATTTAACTTTAGAATTGAAAAGTTTTTATTCATGTTTAATTTTAACCTACGTGTGTAGATCAAAGGAGGTATTTAATGCGCACAAAAGAAATCTTATTGGTAAAAGGATAGTCTTTGTTTACCCAAGATTAAGTATATTACTTGTGCTTTTTGACATTATATTATTTGTGTGTATCAGTGTGACATATATATATATATATATATATATATATATATATATATATATATATATATATATATATATATATATATATATATTATATATATATATATATATATATATATATATATATATATATATATATGAAAATTATTTGTAGTGGCAAAAAAAACCGACAACAATTCTTGTGGATATTATGTTATGAGATATATGCTCCATATTGTCTCTGGAGACAATATACAAGGATGAATGAAGAATAATGTATTAGCTTAATCCATAAAAATATACATATGTATACTTATTAAGTTAATGTTATTGTTTGTATCTTATCATAGTTTAAATTTTGTTCTAATTGTAAAAGCTTATCATCCAAAAATCATTCTCAAAAGAAGATATTGATGACATTCTATCACGTTGAGCCAGTGTCTTCTTATCTAATTATGAAGCTCGACAACGACAACAATAGTTTTTCTTAATGGCTATAATCTTATTTTGTATATGAACATAGGTTGTGTCATTTTGATGTGCAAATATGATCATGTCAAGTAAGGGTATTCTTTCTTGATGATAGCAATGTAAATTTGCACATATGGTTTAAAATGATATGATATATTCCAACTTTGTTACATATTTTGTAATTTATGTGTAAAAAAATGATACTGACAGGTTCATAGATTTATAATGATATGATACATGCCAGTGAAAATGATATACAAGCAAACAATGATACAGGACGGTTAAATTGATAAATATAGGTAAAAATCTTCATTTTAACCCCTCATTTATTACACAAAACTGAGTTAAATGAATGCCTTATTACCTCAAATTATAAATAAAACCGAAAGGAATATGAAGCGCGCAACAAAATGTAGAAAATAAAAAGTATGTAGTTCCTAGGGATCAAATCCATGAATTTTTAAATTATAACCTCGGTGTTTTAAACATTGAGGTGTTAAGTGCTAACATTGCATGTCGCCCTTCGTTACCTCACCTGGCTAGCCGAGGTTAAAGGATTTTCGCGACCGGTGTTACATGCGTTATATGTAGTAGTGTTCCCAGAACCACCCCCTGCCAAACCTAGTCAGAGGTAACAATTGGTCTCCCGCCTCCCAACGAGGAACATGTTATTAACATTGCTTCGCATGTACCCGCATAAATTTTAATTTTTTTAAATGCATTTTTTCAAGACAATAAAAGGCAATAGTTAAATTAAATAATTGATCATTTAATAAATAATCATAATATTTGATCACTTTTATTTAATTTATATTTTATAAAAAATAAAAATAACTCTAATAAACTTAATATTTTAAGATTAGAAAGTGTAAGTGAGCAATAAAGTATTAAAAATAAAGATAAAAAATTAAATTTAATAGGCGGGGGTTGGTGTGGGACGTGTGCTAGAATCCCACATCTCCAACATTGCCCTTACAATTGAAAATTGGGTTTTCTTCACACTGCTCCACCCCTAATTAATTCGGTTTATCCCTGTAAAATTCGAGGCGGGGTTGTTGGATCTGTCTAGGGTCGGATTTATTTGCCTTAACTATCTATGAAGATGTGAGAACCTTTGCACAGTTGTCATATGCATGAAATAGGCTAGGCAAACACTTGAACATGCCCAAATGACGTGTGAGCAAGACACATGGAAAACATGAAATTTCCCATAGTCACACTATCTTTCTAGCAATTTAACTTTGAAATGTCGGATTGGTCGTCCCTCATTATGGTTCATAGTTTTTTCACCATGAAGCTAAATAACTCTTGGTCAAATTGCATGACATGGCGAGTGTTGGATTTGTGAACTTCTTCCTTCAGACCTTTCATGCAATTTTATTTGAAAACTTGGCCATAACCAAACATTATGTTCCATTCATACCCTATCTTTCCAAATAGAGCTTCTAATTTATAGTAAGTCGGTTGTTATTTAGAGATATTATTGTCTCACCTTAAAGTAAGTAAGTTTGTCAAAAAAATTATTCACCAAGAATGTAGACTCATTTAATACATTTCATATATTGCCAATATAAATAGTATAAGTCTAAATATGTAACTGGAAACGATAGTACTAGGATAAATAAATATCGTTTCACGCATTATCAACCTTTTTGAGAAGTTATCTGGCTTCAATAAATCACATGATGTTTTGTTCAACGTGTGTAATACAATACATATGTGACCACATACCGGTCACTTGAGAAAAATGATGTAATACTTATTCACTTTATTACTTATTAATTTTCAAAATTCACAATACATACACTAATTATGACATTTCATGTATTAATTTATATGAAGGTCTTATATTGATTTTGTGGACTTTATTACTTCTTTATTTTTCTTCTATGGTGCAGAAATGAATCAAATAGTTAAGAAAATTCAGTTTGGCATCCTCCAAGACATATCGGCTCATCAAAGGTAATTCAAACAATAACATTCAATGACTACCAAAAAAACTTGAAATGTAAAAAGTTGGAAAGACCTCAACAAAACATAAAATAGAAAGTGGGAGAACTGATGCAATATTACATTGTCTGGTCATTACATGTTATATGAAGTTAAACTCAATAAAAAATATATGAATTGGTTTAAATATACTTCAACGCCATTTCTCTTTTCAAATCATCAACTAGTTAATTCTTATGTACGACCATCTTGCTCGATACAGTCTGCAAATTACACCAACACCCCTCAAATAAATACAAACATACAACACAACCAATCACACACAAACTTTATTCCCTGTGTCATCAAACAACTCATTAATACTAAAACCCCACAAAAATAACCATACATTGAATCTACCCAATAACAATGATATTTTCACCCCTCAACCCCTTTCCCATTTTAATATATGCAATCTACCCAACAATAAAAACAACTTTATTCCCAATTTCAACAAGAAACATCATACACTAAATTCTAAATTCATACAAATACATCATACATGAAACCACCACAACAACACTCAAAGTTAAACCTACAGTTCCTACAATAATCAACTCCACAATCCAGCTACAACTTTCAAATAATGCAACAATAATTCATGTTTTATTCATCACAACCATTAAGGCACCCAAACACATTGCGTCAACACTACCAAACACGCCACCATCAAGAATATGGTGAATAATAACATTCACAATTTTTGACTTTTCTTCATCTTTTTTCTCTGTCTTCAAAACAACAATGGTAAATGATGTGTAAAAATTTGGTTAATACAATATATAGTTTGGTTAATGTGTCATGACATTAAAAACTAGAATTCAAATTTTGTTAATTGAGTGTTATAAATTGATTAATATAGATCATAAATTGGTTATTGAGGGCCCATAAATTAAAAAACAATAAAATCTTACGTAATAAATTAACTATGGTTAATGATAAGAATAAGATTGATTAATACATGTCCTAATTTAGTTAATGAGTTTTTACATATAAAAATGTATTAAGTAATAAAACAATGTTGGTTAATAGAGTGTAAAGATTGGTCAAGATATTTATAATTTAATATCTAAAAATAGTTAATATTATGTTTTTAGTGGTTAATGAAGTAGAGAAAGTGGTTAATGAATTATAACGAAGATAAGTTGTTAACAACCTACCTTTTTTTGGATAAAGAAATGATGGAATTTGTTAATGCTACAACTTTATGTTTTTGATATAAAATAACTTTACAACATATTTCTTAAATATAATATTTTTATTTTTACAATATTTTTAAAAAATAGTGTCCCTTGTATAAATACGATCAACAATATTTTTGATATTAAAATTCACATATAAAAAGAAATAGAAATATATACAATGCATATGAATGGTAAACCGAAAAATACTTTATTTAATAGAAATAGAAATATACACATTTCTTCCATTTATTCTTTCCAAACAAACATTCCACCATAGGGTTTTAAATTAATAAAGCAAATGACGTTACTGAATAGGGAGCAAGTTCGACATTCATGTCATTGCTTGCATTTTCAAGTGCGGTTCTTTTAGACACAATCTGTAGATATACAAAATAAAACAAAATCACGTATTAGAAAATAATTTTCATATAATCAATGTTGATTAACCTTAAACTAAATATGTTCATCAAAACAAAAACTTAAACTAAAACATAAATAAATTCATTTCGAAAAATCACAATATATACATATGAAAAACTAAGTATTGTGTTAAAAATAAAATGTACCTTTGTTGGCTCGAAGAAAGAATTTTCATCCATTTTATTCGAAGATGTAAGTATCACTTTTGATGAACCAAGTTGTTGCACATTTGATTTTAAATTATTTATTAAAATCTTTAAATTTTCAGTTGAGTTTTCAAAGTTTACTATTTGCACAAGTCAATAGTTGCAAAGTTAACTAATTAAAAATTAAATACTTTAAATCAACATTTATTTTTGATTAAAAAAAGTGTTGTTTTACCTTGACTTTTAGATAGTTCTTCCCATCTTAAAAATATGTATAGTGAATTGCAGAGGCAATAATTGAGCTAGAAGAGTTGTGGAGAGTTGAGTTAAGAAAGGTTGCTCTATTAGAATCAATAAAATATTGTTGGAGCCAATAACTTGGAGTTCCATAATTTTGATAAGAGTTGAATACAATTGCATCTGGTATCCAACTTTTTCATATATAGAAAATAAACTTAATAAATAATCTATTTCATTACATATATAAATGATAAATCAAAATAGATGATAAGAAATAATAAAATTACTATTTGTCATTTGTGTTTACAAAGAGGGTGCATAGGCAACCATGCTGACAACATCACTGTAGAAAATTTAAAAAATTATTAAAATTTAGCTCAAAAACAAAAACTTTATAAATTAAATATCAAGAAAAATGTTTTATATATATATATATATATATATATATATATATATATATATATATATATATATATATATATATATATATATATATATATATATATATATATATATATATATATATATATATATATATATATATATATATATATACACTAAAACCTAACCTATTTTTTTCAAGTCCAATGAGAAATGCAGCTTCATTGGGAAAACCTTTGAACTAGATCGTGGTGCTTTATCGAACTTGGTATATTGGGAAAACATGTCCTTTGAATTTGTATAAATCTAATAATTGAAAAAGTATTAACAATAATAACATGTAAGTTATTAAACCTAAATTCAAATTTAATTATTAAAAAAATAATAATAGTAAAAAAAATAAAAAAATAAATCAACAGTATTATTACATGAAAATCATAAAGATCCGCAGGACGATTTAATGGATATTGAGAACCGTCACAATTTGAGATAATCTGAATATCAGGATATGTATTTTTTATAGCTTTATAGAATTTGAGATAATTTCCTTGATAGTTATATTTACCACAATCTTCATTTCCAACTCCAACATATCTCAAATCAAATGGCTTTGGATGTCCCATGGAAGCTCTAAGAGAACCCCATTTTGATTCAGGAGAACCTATAGCAAACTCAATACCATTTAGAGCTTCCTAAAAATTAATGATTCAAAAAGTATAAATAACAATAAAAAAATAAATTAATTAAAATTACAAGTATAACTTATATAATAAAAAATATATTAATAAAATAATACTTGTATAAATTGTGAAATTACAGACGTATTAATTTGATCATGGTGACTAATACCATTATTAAACACCCATATTGGACATGCACCAAGATCCTCTGATAATTGTTTAATAAACAAAAAAAATTAATAATTTTTAATTTGAAAATAAAAATATTTAATATTTAAAAAAAAAGAATTATTTGAAGCCCTTCAAAATAACCAAATTCATCATCGGTCCAAAACTTCCACATATCATTATAGTGGCCAGGTCTCTCTTCCCATGGTCCAACTGTATCTTTCCACCTAAATGCATTTTTTAGATAATTTCCTTCAACATAACAACCACATGTATAAAAAGAATATATTATATCATTGTCACTTAGTAAGAATTAAAAAAAGAAGAAGATGGATTTGAATAAAAAATTTCCATTAAAGAAACAACTATTTGAAGTGATTCCAACTCAATAATATTGTATCATACCTGAGAACCTAAAAGTTTTTGGCTTTAAATCTGCCACCATTTGAAAAAGGTCATTTTGAAAACCATGACCCTGTGTTCAATAATGACTAATGAGATAAATTTTTATGAAAGAGAAAAAAGTTTATATAATCTAAAAATAAATAATAAATAAATAATATAAATATAACTTTATGCATAATATACCTTATATGTATCTAAAGGCATGGTTGAGATTTGATCTAACCATAATACTCCTGTTTTAGTTGTTGTTATTTGTAGATTTGAATTGTGATTAGTAATCTTGGTTTCAAGAATTGTTTCCATTTTACTCCACTTTGTAACATTAACTCCAGAAGATATGATATTCATTGATTTATAACTCAATAATTGATTTATTTTAGTTTGATGATAATAAAATGATGAATAAGATTTTGGTTGAAACTAATTTGATACCATTATCAGATCCAACAAATGAAACTCGTAAATTAATTGGACCAAGTGATCTAATATAGAACCCTATTTTATATTTCTTTCCTGCCTCAATATTCTATTTATATAAAACATTGAAAAATATTATAAATAACATTAATTTTTTTCATATGACATATAAAATATAGTATTAATTGATACTCATCATTCCCCAAAAACCCGGATTGGAAATACCAACACCACCACGTGGACAAGATGTTTTATGACAAATAACATCCATACGTAATGCAATTTTATTACGCTCAAAATAAGAAGAACTCTCTGTTGATATAATAATGGATGATTGATTTTCTCCAATAATTGTCCATGGATAAATATTTGAGGTCCCATTAATGGAAGCTTCTGCTTCAAAACCTGAAACATTAGTTTACAAAAGATATAAAATAGAGAAACAGATCTAATGGCTGAAACAAATATTAAAATGGAATAAAAATTAGTAACATAAGTTTTTAAAGTAAATATATAATTTTTTTATCTTATTAGGAAAATAAACTCAAAGATAAAAAAATTTCAAAATGACAATATATACACCTTTATCATTCACAAGTTCTGCCCACAATCCTCTAGCTCCTGCATGATTAATCTCCTGAAAAATATATAAAACTAAAATTGTACTTTATATGTAATATTTATAGTTATTAAAATTTATTGAAACTGTAATTTACTTCAAAAAAATGTATCTGGAATAAGCTTTCTAGAACTAGCATCAATAACTAGTTTTGGTATGATTTGGCTAGCATTAACATCATGGTGGCATTTAGAAATGGACAAAAAAAAACACCTAAGGAGAAAATAAAGGAAGTGGCAGAACTTGAGAAAGACATTGTAAATTTACAATATATTTTGATAAATCCTTTCCACTCATATTTATAAAGGAAGAAAAATCTATAAGTTGAAGATGAGTTGTTAACAACATAATTTATAATTTGGATGTTTTGTATTTCTAAATTAAGTTGTATTCCTAAATTTGATTTTTATTTTTATTTTTAACCTACATTACCTTGTTAAAATATTCCCACCATACCTCATAACAAATTATTACGAAACTCTACCAGTAAACAATTAGTATATACTTTTTTAAATCTATTGCAAAAAAGATATCAATGTTATTTAAGGATAAACACTATTTATAGTTATAGAACCATATACAATATACGTCTAGAATATATATTATACACAACATTAATTGATACTGATACAACATAAGTGCCTATTAGCATTATCATATACATGTTCATAACTAAAATGTACATCTATATGGCACATGACTTACAATGATGCACAAATAAAATCTAAGAATTGAGTACAATATTCCTCATTGTTCAAATTATACTGCAAAAGATCACATCATAAGAAGCATCATTAAGCAGCTCCCCCTAACATAACTTGTAGATTACCAGAAAAATAATAACAATGATAGGGGTTATATAATAATCTCAGTGAGTCCCCTATCCTATGAGTCCACTCGGCTCTATCGGGTTTCTACCTGATATCTAATTAAATTTTATTCACCTTCTGTTACTTCTGCAGAACTCACACAATTTAACTAATACTTGAGCATACGCCTTTGGAATTTCTGCATCGATAAAATTGTTATCGACATCCCTAAGAAACTTATTTGTCAAAAAAGATCGAAATCCTCTTAGTCTTTTTCCGGCCATTTGAAGACAATATGATTTTCGATCATTATCAATGTTAAAAGACCTCTACAAAAAAACATACATAGAGTGCGTTAGTATTTTATATAAATAAGTGTCAACAAAAATGAAAGACACCACATATGGCATCTATATTTCAGTCCATATCTTTTCTTTAATGGGTTTCAGCTCACGCATTCTCCAATCATCACAATTGATTGAAACTTCTCTCCTCATAACAGAACCAATGTAACCTGTAAACATTGAACCGTTAGGCTCAATTAGTTGTTTGTCTTCATTCTAATATATGTCAAATTTGATACCTTTATCTCTTGCACGAATTATTAACTTCATAATTTTTATTACTCGTCTAATATCATTCTCCACATCACGAGCTGCTTCATTTCCATCAATATTAGAAGCGGGATGTGATTTTTCCTCATTAGTAGCTATTTCACCTGTAATATTAAAGAAAAACATAAACACCATATAAAATTCAAGTAGAATTGAATGAATAAACACAATATAAAAACATAAACACAATATAAAACCATAAACACAATATAAAACCCAAAACATAATTTTATTGAATGACAAAACATATAACATTTTACTAGTACCTTTTTCACTAACATCTCTTTCGTTTCTTGATTGGAATATGAATTACTTGGCTCTTAACAACTCGGACATATGGATTGATCTAAATTCCCTTATTATGATCATTTCCAATATATGATTCATCCACTATAATATTCTCATCTTGATCATTTCGTACATATGACTCATTCCCTCTAACATATGACTCATTCTCAACATCAACATCACTTTGATTTATACTGTTATCATCAATCACTTTGTTAGATAAAAGCACTATAGACCATTTCGTACTTCTCAGATCAGTGACATAGAATACTTGTTTAGCTTTAGAAGCTATAATAAAAGGCTCATTTTTGAACCCCCCCCCCCCCCCCCCCCTTATTAAGATCCAGTTTTAAAAATATCGACTTATCCATTCGCATGCCGCTATTATATACCTACTTGCAATCAAAGATAGGCATCTAAAACTTCTCATAATCAAACACCCATATTTTCTCGATAACCCCAAAATATGGCAGATTTGCATATTTGGGGTTTAAGTCATTATTACTTGAAATGTGCATTTCTTCAGCTAAAGCAGTGACACAACTATTTTGCATAGTACTTTTATCGTCTTGTTCTTTGGTATAAAATGTGTACCCATTAATTGTGTATACGCTATAAGAAAACACGAGAAAACTTGGACCATATGCTAAACATCTCAACCTTTCTGTTATTGAAGCGGGATCTAAATCAAACTTTTAATAAATATAATCTTTGAACCATTGTATAAAACTATGATTGTGCTCTCGTACTATCCAATTTTCATTTCTATTCGTATTTAAACCACAAAGTACATCCTTGTGCATTTCAACATACGGCTCAACATTATTGTCATTGTGTATAACATATAAATGCACTTGATCCTGTTCAACCCTTGATACTGTCACAATTTTATTTCCGATTAAATTTTTTCCTTCCTTCCTTCCTTTCGAAAATATGAGATTTGGGTAGTCCAATGGATTGAACATTGGTCAAATATTCAGTAAAAAACTCAACCGCTTCTTCAATAATGTATCGTTCAACCATACAACCCTCTGGCCGACTTTTATTTTTCACGTACCCTTTTAATATTTTCATATACCGCTCAACAGGGTACATCCATCTCATATAAGCTGGTCCACACAATTGTGTCTCTTTCACAAGATGAACAACAAGATGTACTATATTTTCAAAAAATGAGGGACTAAAATATGTTTCAAGCTCACACAAAGTAATAACTATTTCTTTTTGAAATATTGGTAAGATATCAGGATTTATCACCTTACTACAAAATGACCTAAAGAAAAAACACAATTTAGTTATGGCGCTTCTTACTTTTTCTGGAAAAATAGAACGTATACCTATTGGTAGAAAATACTCCATTATAACATGACAATCATGTGTCTTTAAAATCTTTAACTTGAGATCTTTCATAGACACGGGTCTTCTAATATCTGAAGAGTAACCTTCTGGAACTTTAACTTCACTTAGAAACTTACACAATATTTTTTCCTCCTTTCTAGATAAAGTATAAGCAGCAGGAGGAAGATATGTTCATGTTCCTTTCTTCATGGGTCCTAATTCAGTTCTTATTCCCATCTGTATCAAGTCCTTTCTTGCTTTAAGGCCATCTTTAGACTTTCCTTGTATATTGAGTAACATACCAATAACACTTTAAAATACATTTTTTTCAATATGCATAACATCAAGAAAATGTCTTACATACAACAACTTCCAATATGGAAATTCAAAAAAAATGACCTCTTCTTCCACCCACCTTTGACATGCGTATGTGCAAAAGGCTTGCCAAACTGAATACTCATATCTTTCACCTTCTCAAAAACTTGGTCACCTGTCAACGTAGGTGGAGCTCTATCATGTTCTGGATTTCCGTTAAATGCATTCTCCACCCGCGGTAGTGATTATTAGAATTTAAGAATCTATGATGACCGAGAAATACATTCTTTTGACAAAATTCCAATGGCTTCTAATTTGTGTGTTCTTCACAAATAGGACACACATTTTGAGCTTTAATGTTATACCCTGATAGATTTCCGTATGCCGAAAAATCATTAATTATGCCAAACAACATCGCCCTAAAATTGAAACTTTCTTTCTTATATCCATCATAAACTTCCACACCGTTCTCCCACCAAATCTTAAAATCTTCGATTAACTGTGTCAAGTATATGTCTATGTCATTCCCTGGTTGTTTAGGTCCAGAAATTAACATACATAACATCATGTACTTGCGCTTCATACATAGCTATAGAGGTAGGTTATAAATCATAATAATTATAGGCCATGTGGTATGTGAGATACTTTCAAGACCATCCGGGTTCATTCCATCAGTAGATAATGCCAAGCGAAGGTTTCTTGCTTCTCCTCTAAAATCAGGATAATCATTATCAATTTTTTACCACTATGGTGAATCTGCTGGATGTCGAAACTTTCCATCAATAATTATTTCATTTGTATGCCAAGTCAAGTGTCTTGCATCGGTTTCACTATGAAACATGCGTCTAAATCTCGGAATTATAGGAAAATACCATAAGACTTTTGTTGGAGATAATTTTTTCTTATATCGAGATAAACCGCATTTAGGACACTCATTTAACGATGTATATTCTTTCGAAACAAAATGCAATCATTTGGAAGCACATGTATCTTATCATAGCTCATGCCGATAGAGCACAACATTTTTTGGCCTCATATGTTCGATCAGGAAGAACATTATCCTCCGGAAGCATATCTTTCATAAGGACTAATAACTATGTTAAACTTATATCCGACCATCCATTTCCCACCTTTAAGTTGTACAACTTTAATACTGCAGAAAATCTTGTGAATTTAGTACAACCTTTATACAACGGTTTCTCCGCATCTCTTACCAATCTCCCAAACATTTTGGGACAATCCTGAAGATCTTCTTCAAGTACTTCTGCAATCTCTTCGACACGATCACAATTGTATGTTCCTCTGCCATTATCGTCTGAAGCATATGTTGTACTATCCCCCGGGTCAACATTCCCATTACTTTTCTCACCATGAAATATCCAACATGTATAATTTCGATAAATTCCATTCCTTAGTAAATATGATTCCAACCAAATTGTGTCAACCCGACCCTCATAACAACAACCCAAGCAAGGCCATTTCATTCGACTAGGGTTTTTGGCATGTTCAACGGCAAACTTAATGAATTCTAATACCCCAATCGATTAGAAGACATCCATTTTTTATCCATGGTTTTACTACTAAATAGCCTAAACTAAAACACTATAATTAATCACGTAGCTATAACAAAAGAAAAACTAATTACCTGTAGAGAAGTTAGTAACTTCTGGAACCACACATCATAAGATTGTGAAAGCGGCTAAGAAATCGAGCAACAACAACACATAAATAATTAGGTTCACTAATTCAATTTGAAACATGTTTAAAATAAACGG